TTCTTAATTAGTGTCTTCTGTTCCATTTTAATAAATTATCAAAGGAGACTTACCGTGAGAAGTCTTCGCTTACAAAGCTAATCCAAAAGGCGAAAAACACAAATTTTCAAATTAATCAGATTCTTTTCTGGAGCCGATGCACCATTATGTAACGAAAGTTCTAAATCAAAGTCGAATCACTCATAATCCAAAAGACGAGATGCATGGCCTGGAGGGTTTTCCATAAATTTTAATTAAACTTAATATTTACATATATACAATGTAGGCTAAAATGCCTGAATCGAATATTTAATGCTCAAAAGGTAAGAACTGAATAGTTCCAGCTAAAATCTCAATCGAATTCTATTGCGTAGTGCATCGAAATTCTACCTTCAAGAAGAATATTTTTTCAAGTCACGTGTTCAGAAGGGGAAAGGTCAAGTAAGCCAATAGATGGACTCCTAACGCCATCTCTTGGCGATATCAAAGAATATTCCTTAACAGCCTTAGCTGTGAATTTTGCATTTAGATATTTCGTTTGAGTTTCCGTGGGATCTCAAAACGAAATTTTCCTTTTTACAAAATTGGATTGACACATTTCGGAATTATCATAAAATATACTTTTTTAATTGAAAATTTATTTCGGACTTATAATGCACTTTACTGATTTCCTCGGATTTTTCTGGAATTGGTTTCTTCTTCAGTTATATGCTTAATATTTTTAAAGTTCTATGTCAGAAAATCCATAGATTATAAGATCGTCAAATTTTCTCAGATTATTAAACCGAATACTTAATCTTTTACTTAGTTTATTTGATTACGACAAAGTACTCGAGGGCTAATTGACTGAGGTAAGCGATGATTTCTAAGGGAACATCCTAAGGGAAGTTTCTAACTTTCTAAGAAGTATCTAAACTTTCTAAGGGAATTCGAACCTTTCACCAAACTACCAGCGTCCAACGACTTTATCGCTTGGCTGCTGGTGGTCTTTTTCTGAAAGGAAAATGATTTAAAAAATCATTAATTAGCTGATTATAAAAAAGATTAATGCAACGTATCGAGAAATTCACTTTTCGCATGCAGTGATTTTCTGTTTTCATTAGTACCTTTCTCGATCACTTATGAACTTTTCTAATATTCTATGTTTCCTTTAACTTTGTGGGTCCACCAGCAGCTGAGAGATAACGTCGCTGAACACTGGTAGTTCGGTTCGAATCCCGCAAACGGGCTGGCTGCATGGGCGTTTTCGTGGTTTTCTCCATGTGTAACGTGTATACGAGCCAGTTTCCCTTAGAAAGTCCTCCACGAAGGCATCCCTCCTTTAAGGCAGATAGCCCTCGAGTGCTTTATCGTAATCTAATAAAACCAAACCAAACCAAACCTTTAACTCAGTGAAAAGAACGGCTATATTGACATTTAAAGTAAAAAACTTTAAGATTCTGTTATAGGCAAAGAATGAATTATTTATATTATTGCCAATCACACTAAAGCACACAATGTATTCTGGAGGAACTCTAAGAGTTGGTTTATTTAATTACGGCAAAGCACTCAAGGAACTTGATGTCTTAGTGGAAGACTTTCCAACGGAATTTGGCTCGTATACCCATTATACCCATGCGGAAAACCATGAAAATGCCCATGCAGCCAGCCAATTTGCCAGTTAGAACCCCGACTTAATTACAAGTATTCAGCGACTATCGCCCGGCCGTTGGGTCTTCCTAAGCGAAACTGGTCTACATTCATTTTTCACACGAGGAAAGCCATGAATACTCCCATGCATCCAATTGATTCGCTGGATTTGAACCCAGATCGAATTATCAGCGTTAAACGAATTTCTACTCGGCCACACATGGGCTGTTATTGGCAGCTATCTATAATAAAAGTAAAAATGTTAAAAGTCATATAACGGAAGTAAAATTAAAACCTCTTCCCGAAGTTACTTAGCTCTTCCGGAAGAGACTTCTTATTCTTCTTAATTTTATCTATTTGGACCTTCGTATTTTATCTATTCGGATTGTGTTATTCGGTTATTTAGAATGTTAACAACGTCGATATCATAGGTATAATCGTTAAAAGAACTAATAAAAAAGTCAGACACTCACTATACTTTTGATCTGATACTTACAGTGGGTAAAAAAAGTATTGGCAATTGCCTATAATTGATCATATTAGCTAACAAAGGAAATGCTTGACAATTTTAGCTGGACATAATGAACACAGGAGGCAATAAAGATACAAACCTAATGAAACTTTCGTTTTATTATGCCTTTCACATAAAATATACAACAAAAACGTAAATTTGCATGTCAGAAAAGTATTGCCAAGATAATACAGCAAAATGTGGGCGACAAAATTTAATACTTTGCATTCGTACCTTTTGCATTTATAACAGCTTGTAATCTATTTCTCATAGAGGAAACAAAAATCCTGGTTGTTGAAAAAGTCCCGTTGGGATTTTTGTGCCATTCTTACAGGAGTGTACGCTTAAGTTCATCTTTACACGAAATTTTATGTTTCTTGACTTCTAGGTCCAATTTGTGCCATAAATTTTCAATTGAATTTATGTCAGACGATTGAGACGGTGTTTTTAACTGGCGAAGAGCGTTATAGAGTAACTATTGCCAGATGAGGTTCACTGTCTTTAGGGTCATTGTCCTGTTGAAACACAAATGATGTTCCTAAGCCAAAAAGTTTTGGGGCACTGAATTTCATGTCATGGCACAATATGTTAATGCAAGTATGTGCTATCATAATACCATCAATGAAGCACAGGTTACCAACTTCTTTTGTGTGTGGCTGTTATACAGCCCCAAACGACGACGCTTCCTCCAACATGTTTTACAGTCGGTGTTAAATGTTGCTTTTCCAGTTCGGTGTTAGGCTTTTTCCACTCATACTGTCGTCCATCACTCTCGAAAACGTTAAGCTTCGATTTTTCGGACAAAATAATAGTGTTCCAAAATTCTTTTGATAAATTAAAATGAGATTTTTCAAAATCTAATTCCTTTCTCCTGTTTATTTCTGAAATGAAAGGTTTCTTTCTTAGTTAACCTTACATAATAACTTCCTCCATGTCAGACATTCCGTACAGTCTGTACGCTAAACGTTTTATGCGAAGTATTACAAATATCTGTGGTTAACTGGGGTTAAATTATTTTACGGCCTTTCTTAACCTCTTTAACAATGCCACGTTTTCCCTTGCAGAAAAATTCGAGGCCGTCCACTTCTAATCTTATTTTCCATCGATTCTGTCTCTTTGAACTTTTTTACAACACTCCTAACAAAGCAAACTTATGTTCATCTATATTCCTATAGCACAATAAGTTAAACCTTATTTCTTAGCTGAATAATCATGTTTTTAACATTAACATCCAACTCCTTCAACTTCAAAGCCATTTTATCACAGTATTAGCAAAATAACGTTTTAAAAGTTTTGAAGTAACATTGAAGACGTTATACTAATGGGGTTTCTTATCAGTCTAAACACGTAACCTCAAGATAAATTTGCTTGGCAGTTAGAACTTTGTCGATATTTTTTGACATGCAATTTTACGGTATTGTTGTATATTTTGTGTAGAAGGCATATCAAGTTGAAAGTTTCATTAGATTTGTGTGTTTATTACTTCCCGTGTTTGTTATGTCCAGCTAAAATGGCCAAGCATTTCCTTTGTTAGGTAATATGATCAGTTATAGGCAATTGCCAACAGTTTTTTTACCCACTGTACGTCATCATCGGAGAAAGTAAATAGAATTAAGATTTAAACAGCTAAAAGGGTTAATAAGTTAATAAGATGATCAGCTCTGAATCATCTTAATGCCTGCATTCAAATTCATAGATAGCATTGTAAAATATTTCTTAACAATCAAACAAGTAACACAAAAAGAATGAAAGAAACTGCAAATCATATACAACAAAGTCAAAAATAAATTAAGAATAAAGCATGCTCTTTCATAGGCTCCTGGTAAACAGTTAGAAGATTTTGATCAGTAAAAAAGTTTAAAAAAATGATACATTTTGTCTTTTATTTGTAAAACAAAATAAATGTAGAAACAGAAATAGAGAGAAATTCAGAAAATACACTGACTCTAAAAAACAGCCATTTCTTATGGAACCAGAGATACTATCATTAATTATAACTATATTAATCATTCCCTAGTCACAAAGCATTAAGATTCTTAGAAAGTTGTGTTAAGTGGTAGCTGTTATAGAGTTTAAAGATCTCTTTCATACGATGGGGGCCAGTCTATTAAATTAGATATTACTTTTATTGTATCTTTCACAGTAAATTTTAACAATAAATCAAATTTTATCTTGAAAAATTACTCGGTGATTTTTGACTATTAATTCACGAACGGAACAGTTTCTGTAGCACCACTGAACAACGTTTAGGATTCATGATTTTAAGTTAACTGCATTCAAAATTTAATACTTTAAATGCAAAACATTTTACTTTTAAAGATAAAATTAAAAGTAAAATAATACAAACTCTAGAAGTGTTTATTTTATTTTATTTTATTTTTATTTTATTTTTTATTTTTTTATTTTTTATTTTTTTTTATTTTTTTTTTTTTTTTTTTTTTTTTTTTTTTTTTTTGTTTGTGTGTGTGTATAGTAAATAAGCAAAACAAAAGCATAATAAAAATTTGAAAATAAAAAAATTAATGTATATGTATATAATCAACTGATAATAAACATAAATTTTAAATCCTACATAGTGGCAAATTTACTAACAGGAACTAACGCAAAAGCAAATGGGTGCAGAAATATTCACGTAAAATTAAATAATAAATGAAAAATAATAGTTGAAAATCCCTTTATCTTTTTCAAGAAATAACCGAAAGTATTTTCATTTATTAATTTTTTCCATATTTGTAATCTGAAAAATTGTAAAACATATATATCTTTCCATTTCTTTATCAATGAGACCAAAAAATTAAGTCAACAGCTGTTCTAACTGTGGTTGTTAAGTTGTTCTGAATAAATATTTTAGATATATGCCGTTCGGTGGAGTTCATTAAAATCTAAACACGACATCTATTAACAATTTGCAAATATTTCCTAAAACTATTTTCCAAAATTCTTTTAAATTGGCAGTAGGTGAAGGGCAACTGTACTTGTCTATGAGCAATGGCGTCTTGGATGTTTGGGTAAGTTACGAATGAGAGTGATCGCTTTTATGAGTTGATAGTAATATTATTTATTAAAGATATTCCTGAATTACAACATGTTAAAGTTGTTTATTGAAGTAAAGATTTATTTTATATGTTTTAGGGTAATTTTTATGACTACTTATTACTTCACTTAATTTATCAATTCAATTAATTTATCAATAATTCTAGTCATTGTTAACTTAATTATATAATAACTTGCAATAAGTTTTAACACAAAGTGTGGCACTTATATGCAACATAAAAAGGATAAAAGCTGTTAGAAATTTAGTTCAGTGTTATTTAAAAAAAAGTAAGTTGTACGACTTCTAAATATATCGCAGTTAAGCAAGCAAAATGAGATGATTTTCTAATGACTAAATCAGAACTTTGTATTCCCTTACTTAATGTATAGTTTTACGTCATTACTAAATGTTCCAGCCTAAGCAAGATTTCATATTACCTTAAAATAACTATCGCAAGTCTAATTTTAAGTAAGCAACCTAATTATATTCTAACTGTAAGTAGCTAGGTCCTTAGTAACTCTAGGACGATGAGTATTTCAATTTTTGCTCATGTTAAAAAAAACTCCACGCATTGCATCATTACACTTCAAAATTGAGCAGTATGTAATAATTGTAAGTGCGTATATCTAAAGTTAAGCTTGTAAATTAGCTCTCAAAACTATTATTTTCCGTTATCATAGCGAAAGTTAATCCTAAAGCGTTATTTTTAAAAGTATTCCGGTGGAGATTTTGTAGTGGTCACTTTAAATAGATTCAAAGCGAATTTTTCGCTCTACCTATTTTGCGACAAAATACGAGTAGTGTATTCTTTCAGAAATTCTAAAACACTTTATTTCATTGTAGGCATATTCTACAAACGCTTATTTTATGATTGAGTAAACAAAAATCTCGGTCTGTAAATCGTTGGAATACGATGAAAAGAAAACTTACGAAAACTACAGTTTATTAAAACTGGAAGAATATCCATTCGCGTGGTTAGCAAGGTTTAAAGCAATCTGAAAATTCGGCTACTTTTACTAAGGTGACTGCGGTAATATGCAAGTACCGAAACGCGTTGATTCTGGAGTATGTCATTCTAACGCTAAGAAACCTAATCACTGCCAGGTTGGGAAAACACTACAGGTTGGCGAATCGCTAGAAAATGTCTGGGATTTCTTGCTGTAACGTCTCTTAGCACAGGCATTTGTTTTTCTATTATCCTAGTAACTAATGAGAACTTTCTGAATTTTGATCAAAAGAATACATGCCTTGATATCCGTTAGTCCTCTTATTCCTTTCCCAAAACAAAATGCTACTAAAATGTAAAAACGTACAAGACTCTTTAAAGTTGAAACATATAAGTGTTAAGGTCTCATTTCTTCAGTTCTCGGTGGTTCTTAAATTTGTCTTCGAAGTTATGTCCATGCTTATCGTGATCTTTCAGGTAAGCAGTTTCGATACAGTTTACACGCACACAAGTCTATATGGAAACTCATTACAGCTTAAGTGTTATTTGCACTGAATCGTTAAGTATTACTTAAAAGGCTTGGTCACACACCTGATGCAGCCCTCAGTTTCTTAGCTTAAGCAAGTGAAACTGAGTTTCACATCTATAATTCATTTGATTTAAATTGTACTTAATTCTTATATAAATTCTAAGCCTAATAAGCTTTGAAACGGAATAAGTCGTACTAATGTGAGATTTGCTTTCCAGGAAGGGCTTTGTAATGTGCTCATCGCTTCTGCTTTTCTTGTTAGCAGTTGCATCCGTTTGTGGTGAGCAAACTAGCATTCTAGATTCTCTTCCGGCTGACTTTCTAGCTTCATTGACCGAAAAAGAAGCTGGCGAACTAGACTCGAAGCTCTATGAGGAAGAGAAAGAGCCCTCATTCAAGAAACTAGCTAAGCCAATGAAAGTACCGATTCCTATGATGTATGCAGTACCTGTTCCTCTGAAATCTACTCGTGGTTTATTAAAAGCTGGAAAAAAGTGAGTTTATTTCCTTCTTAAGCGTAAGTTGATTATCGCGAGATTTGCGTAAAGCTGGCGTAGCTTTTTGCAGGCTTCATAAGTGTAAATGAGATAGCATAAAAGTCAATTCTTTCTCAATTTCCGAGCGAATTATGGGTTTTTCTAAAACAATATATAATACAATGTAAATACTAAAGCTGACTATACAGCTAATGTCTTAACTTGTTGCAGTTCGTGGTTATTATGAAGCTGAGGGTTTCGGTCGAAATCGCTCATTCTCATATTCAAGTGAAAAATATGCCAAATTATCAATGGTTTAAATTTAAAAGTTTGTTAATATAGTTATCGTGAAATGCGCATGGCCTTTAAAATGTTCGTAAATTTATCTTAAATAATTTCTCAACTTCTATCATGAAGTTTTTAAATGTCAAATTGTAATATATAAATCGTCTGTTCAAAAGCAATGTCTGTGATGTTCGCTTTTCAATTTAACATTTGATGAAACAAATAGATTAAATTCTTTATTACTAAAACATACCAAGCTTTTAAACTTTAATCATAATGTCTGAAACGACTCCTTTTGTTTCACCAGTATCTTTAAACTCTTGCCGCAATATGAAATGAACATATTTAGTTTTCTAAATTTTAGATTTATTTTAATACTGTTAATAAACTATCAGTTAAGTTAGCACTGTTCCAAATATTGTCCATTTATTTCTTTCAGAGTTGCGGTAGTAAAAAAGGTTAAAGCAGCAAAGTTACTGGTACCGAAGGTTAAAGCAGTGAAACTGCTGGCACCGAAGGTAAAAGTAATGGTACCGAAGGTTAAAGTGGCAGCCGCCCTCAAGAAGAAACCAAAAGTGTACAAATTGAAGCCAATCGTCCACGTAATTGAGAAGCCAGTCCCTGTGTACCATAAAGTTCCTGTTCCGAAAAAGGTTATCGTTCCGAAATTTTATCCAGTTTACAAACCTATACCTGTTCCTAAATTCCTTCCCGTTCCAGTTAAGGTGCCCATTAAAAAGATCATTCCAAAGATAGTAAAGATTCCGAAGCCTATTCCTGTGCCAAAATTTGTACCGGTAAAGAAGTTGATTCCTATTGGAATTCCATATCCCGTACCAAAATTCGTGAAAGTACCTATACCGAAACCAGTGCCCTATGCAAAGTTTATACCTATTCCAGTTCCTAAAAAGGTAAGTAGCATTCTAAACATCTGTTTATACATTATTCACGTGGTGAATTTAAGTTACTCGCCCTTTATTGCTCTTGCTTTTACTGCACTTGGTTTTATATTGAATGTGAGCAGTTTTATCCTCTGGTATTTAATGACCGATTTTGTCGAAAAAATTCAAATTTATTTACCGGGCACTGTGCGAAAACTTTCGTCTAGCTATGGAAGCAAGAGCAATAAAAACGTTTGTAATGGTTTAAATTTGTCATCGTGGAATTCTCAAAGCTTACTGTGGCAACAAACTATAACTCGCATTTCGGAAAATTATTTGCAAGATTTTAATTTCAAAAGCAATAAATTGGGGTTATTAAATACGTAGAACGAGTTCAAAAGTTGAAGATAATCTTTATGCATATAAAATTTGTCTTCACGTATTTTATATCAATTACTTTTAAATTCCGTTGTAAACTAGTTTTATTTGCGTACCGAACTACTTAATCTAAATTCAAAGCTTCTAAGACTCATTTTCACCAAATTTTAGTGTTGGAAAATCGACCTCGTAGAGGTAAATCAGATTTGTGCGATTTCTTTATACCTATTACGATTACATGTGTTAAATCCTTGAGACAGAAATTAAATCATTCCATAATTTTGTACAGAATTGATATATATTTAATTATCGTACAAGCAAATCTTTAAATTCGTATCGTAGTTAAAGCCTTTAGTGTCTGAGAATAACTGGAAGTATGGAAGATGACTAAATGTCCGCTCGTTTAAATATTAGATCATAAAGCACACATAGCCTACGCGACTGCGGAAAATAAATTGCTAGAATTTTTTTTGAACTGAGAAGTCTAATGCCAGTGCGATTACAAATCTAAGTAAACTTGGATTAAAACGTGCACTAAAGTTTTATACAGAAATCTTGTATATTTGTAGGTTAGCGAACCTTAATATTCGTCAAGTTTATTAAATAGAATAGTTGAGGACATAATTATTCATGAAAGCGGGTTAAATATGCAGAGACCCAAATATTCCATAATTCCAAAGACCCATATTAGTTTTAATAAATCTAGTAATGGTCAACCGTTGTTGGGCGAAAACCAAGCATAGATCTCTATATAACTACCCCATCAGCAACAGTGGTGAAGACCGCTGAATTGTAGGAGTTTCGACGTCAGGCAAACTGATCTTTGCATGGTTGATTTTCGTAGTTCCTTCATGTGTAACCTGATAAGCTTAAGGTCCACGAAGGTATTTTCTCCTTAAGCAGCTAACTCTCGTGTGCTTTTCCATATTCAAATAGCCTAACCTAGTCTCGATTTAGCAGCATTTAAAGTCTATAGAAATAAACAGCGATTGGTGAAGGGCTGAATAATGCAAGCCAAATCTGAAACTTTCATTTGTTATGATCTATACTTTCGATGTATTGAAAAACTCGAATGGCTATTAAGACTGAGGAGTAATTTCTAACACTAACATTCTTGCCTGAAAGTATAAAGCAACATAATGTGAAAATGTTGTTAATGCTGTTGTTAATGCTCACTTGTCTGACCTATAGTCGGCCCAAGCCACGAAATTACTCTGGCAAGACCCACAAGTTTACCCTTGTCGTTGGCAACAGCCTTGAGCACCTCATAGGTGACTGAGATTTAGCTCGTTTCCGCCCTCAATTTTGATCGAGAGAACTTCGGGGAGGACTACGTTCGTCTCGCCTCGTATCTAGAGTGCCTCCATGCTGCACGGACACTATAAATTTACAAACATCCATGCCTTCTTCGGAGCACGAACCCTTCGGCACAGCGGCCAGCGTCGCCTATACCGGGTGGGCGGCGATTACTTCTAAGTAACTAAATATCCCGGTCCTATTCCTAATTATGTCAATTGAGGTTTGATGATCATGTCTCAAAACAGATGTACAAAACTTGTCAATCATTTGTGAGAATGTGACTAATCTTCAGTTAGTTCTAAGCGTAATGATCACGATGTGGCTTGGAGGCTGTTAATAAGGATTAAAAATCATGCAAAATACAGTATTCAGCTTTTGAATCAAATCTGCAACCGCTTTTATAAAACGTTCCATTTACTTTATTTTCAAGTTGCAAATAGAGTAATCGTTTATAGCTGTTACGTAATAAAATTAACTACGTACTAAAATTGAAATGTAGAATATATTTTGGATCCCCGAAATTGCCCCAAGTATTAATGACAAACATCCAAATCTGAGGTCTAATACTTGCTCCGTTTAGCCTGTAAACTATAGCATATATTAGCAAACTTTCATGTGAAATCGCACCTTTAAGTCAAGTTTGACTTTCAACATATTTTACTGCATCTTCCTGCGTATCCGAGGGCTTGGAAATCTATCTTCTTAAAAATTTTCGTCAATGTACTCTTGAATATTCTGTTGTAAATATTGTAAATACCTAGTAATATGTATTTTATCTGTACCTCGCATTTAAAAAGTGCTAGTTTTTGCGAAAGTGAAGTTGTTTGTAAAATGCAAACTGCCAACTACGTTTGGCATTTCCTAAACTAGAAAGTATTCAGATTCCGCCTGACAAATTACCTGAAGTTTAAACTGTAAAAACGGAAATTTGATCAGTTACCAGTATACTCAAATGAAGCTGCAAACACTGAAGTCTTTGCAGGTGTTTTTCTTCTCGTTTTGAGGACTACCGACAAGTTTCCTTCTCAAGTAATCTTTAAAACCAGAATTTACATTAAAAGTTTATATACTTCAGCTTTTACTATTTTAGGTACTTTTCACACGCAGCCGACCAGCAGTAAAGTCTCCGAGTACTGGTAGTTTAGTCAGGGGTTTGAAACCCGGCGAACTGGCTGGCTGCATGGGCGTTTTTGTGGTTCCCCCATGTGTACTGTGTATACGAGCCGGTTTTCCTTGGAAAACTTGTAAGCCATCCCTTCCTTATGCATACAGCCCTCGAGTGATTTGCCATAATTGAATGAACCAAACCTTTGACGTACCTGGCCAGAATAAAGCAAATATTAAGGATAATGCAAAATATTGTTGCATATCTTTGTAGATGGGCCAGCTATGAAGAGCCAAAGCTTCAAGGTAAACTCAATATCCGTGGCTTGTAAATTAACCCGCCCAATGCCTAAATTCTGAATTTTGCCACCTCTATCCCGGCACCACCCTTGCCTACCTTTCATTGCTAAGTAATATTTTCAATGGTATTAAGCAACTTGATAATTTTTAGGTTCCGAAATTCATACCAGTTCCAGTTAAAAAGATAATCAAAGTGCCGAAACCATACTATGTTCCTGTGAAAGTTCCACATATTACAACAAGCTACATGAAGACGCCAATGGTTGTTGATGTACCGTAAGTATTGCTTTAAGAAAAACTAAAATTCTGTTCTAAAGTATTTTGCAATCGATGTTTTTAAATTCCACATCTGGAAAATTAAGTGTGTAGGCTAGACGGCTCTTAATGTGAGAGTATAGATGAGTCGCTAAGAACTTCTTACAGAAATCCTTGTAGACTGTTCAAGATAACTGAACATAACGAGATGCATGTTCCACAAGATGAATTACCTCTAACACAGAAATTCAGTTTCAAATCTATTAAATTTGAGACTGTAATGAGTGACTTGGAAATTATTAGTCTCTCGCTTGATTATTTAAAAGTCTAAATGAGATCAATTTGTAACTTTGAAAAAATGCTAACCTCTTAAGTGATATAGGTCCAAAACTTGAATAATCTTCGAGGACTCATTATTCGTTTGTAAATATTGGTGTATCGGACTACTTAAATGTTTAGAGTGGAAATATTGAGTGCATTTTCTTACAGTAAAATTAACAAGCCTTCGTAATTAACCGATTATATATTTGAAAATATTCACAAAATATTAAATTTTGTATATCCTTGAGACATGACGATCCGCCCAAATCTTTAGCCACACCAGTTGGCAAAGTTGGACATGGCATTAGTTTTTTGACTAAAATGTTCACAAATATTTTTAACGTTGCAAATTTGCATATATTAAAACTCGCACTGGCGTATCATAGCAGTATAACAGTTTTAAAATTTATGCTTCTAAATGCTATTGAAAAGTTTCATAAGTGACTTTTATTGCAGGCTGTCTCATAAGTTAGTCCCAAGGAATTTGATAAAATTTGTTCAAACTGAACCCTTTAGTTTTCAAACTAATTAAATGCATGCTATTTCAGTTAAATATCAGTGACTCAAAGATGTATGTCACTTATCCTTTTCCACCGTTCTACAGATTGTTTCAGCGAAAATTTCGATCTAGGTGACCACGTACGTAAATGTTTTAGTCTCGCTAGAGATGGGGACAATCTGTACTCCCTCTGAACCTATTCAGCATCCTAGAAACTGGCAACAGGTGCGATTTTATGCTGGTCATTACACGTAAAAGTACAATAAATTACTAGTAAACATTGGATTGCTTGTACATTTTTTCAGGGAAGACTAAAATTTTCTTTTAAGTAAAAAATCGAATGCTCCTTACAAAATGCTTGTCTCGTTCTATTTTACATTTACTTGAGGCTTGGAACTTCTAATTCCCATAACTACTACGTAATAATTAACGATAAATTGAATAATTAAATTTGAGTACAAGTAACTATCTGTAAACATGTTAATTAAGTTAATTATATTGTGGAACTCTCTAATTTGTATAAAAACTACTTTATTCATGCATTTAAGGCACGTGAAGTACAGCTTGAAGGAGCCAGCAGTCATCAAGAAACCAATAATCGTCAAGAAGCCAGTGCTCATCAAGAAACCAGTAGTTAGTTTCATTCCTGTGGATAAAAAAGATGTCTTCAAAGTAAAAGATGCCGATACTTATAAAAATTCGGAATACGAAAAATCTGAAGACTTCCTGAAAGGATTTGAATCCGATAAATTTTAAAATTAGCAAGATTATCAAAATGGTGTATTTTAATAAAAGCCTTTATATTTCCTTGTATAGGTTATTGAAAAGCTATAAATTTCACTGTTTAATTCGTTGGTATTCACCTAAAACAAAGATACTTTCTAAGAAATCTCCATTTTCATTTTCTAGTTAGCAGCAACTCTCAACTTTCACAAAAAATAGCTGAATTACTTGAAATTTTATCCTAACGGTATATTTTTTTGTGATAATGAGAAACATAAGGCTCATTTCTATTTTAATTTTAGCAATCGGTGAGTTTTCATTGGTTCTATCATCAGTCTCATGGTTTGATGCTTTCAGCATAAAACTGTAATGCTCTTACTCGATAAATTGTCTAATTTTTTATCTTCAGAAAGTTCTTTTTCATTGAACATATTTACATTAAAGCACTGAATCGCTCATGTTTTAACATCAGATTTATGGCTAGAACTTCATTCGTTTGTAGTAAAACGAGGTAGATTGAGGTTACCCGAAACTTTGAATTATTTGCAAATTCTTAACTTGTAGGTTAAAATTAAAATGGCTTTTCTTTTAAATTTAACTCTCCTCCATAAATTTGTAGCGGTTTCATTGGTAGTTCGAAAGTTTGAATGTTCTCTAAATGAGACTTCTAAATTATACGGCATAAGAGATTCGCATGTGTTGAAATTTCTGGGAAATGTGTTTATTTCTATTCACCAGTTGTTGCCCTTCTAATGGCTAGTAATTCACGATTAGGATTTACACTCTAACTTCAACCATGTTCAAAACATGAATACTCTCGAGATTTCATTTGTTTCTTCGCTGCATTTCCGACACTTTTGGTCAAGACGACCTAATTCTTTATCGTAAGTTTCAAGAAGTCTATCTTGATAATTTGATATAAAACTGAAATCTAAGCTTTTAAGGATCCGAATGCTATTGATTTATCGAATATTTAGACAAAACTATAGTTTCTATTCTCGGCGATTCTTCACACCTTCGCGATACTTAATTCCATTAGTTATTTAGAATGTGATACGCTTATGAAGCATGTTATTAAGATTTTCAATAAATTCTTATTTGCCAAATCATTTATAAAACTGAAAGTACCAGTGACTAAACTTCTTTCCCTATTTCCAAAGCACTTTGTGAATCCATAGACTAGCTTCAAATTAACAAATTCCCATGCCACTCATCACTTTTCCAAAGAACAAATCGTTGAGCAAGTAAAAGGCGGAAAAAGGAAATTATAGAAATTAAATGGCGTATTTTGACTGAACTAAACATTCTTACTAAATGTAGCTCATTTCTTCGAACGCAATTTAATCACTTAAATTCATTAAATTGATGTAATGTATTTTCAGCAAAATTTTACCTTCTAACTTTCGTTTTACGTGCAGTCTGAAAATATCGAATAAATTACATCTCTTGCTTCTGCATCTTGAGTAATATTGATCCCCCTCAAGCAATATTATTCTGAAGCAATACTTGATCTTAGTCTATACTTAACCAATTAATATTCCGTAAATATTATTTTAGACATAACACATTCATGTAGCTTTCTAGTGAAACATGTATATTTATTCATTTAATTACAAAAATGCGCACGTTTTAAATATCTTGTGGAATTGATCTCTCATGCTTCAAGTTTTCAGAAATCTTTCAGCAATTCTGGGACATGAATGAATAGCCCTAGTCTTTACTTCAAATGATCCGGTCCGTCCAATTCAAAGGATTAATATATATATCAGTTCAAAGTTCGTGAATTAGTTGCAGATGTTCACAGCAAATGCTTGAGATTCCGCACTAAATAGTTTGAAATAAGTTTTCAAACTTCAGGAGTTTTGTAATTAAAGTGGCCTATTTGTATATCGTTAGCAAATGAGTATGCCTGAGGTAATGATGCTCAGCAAGAACAGTTGTTTCACATTACATTTCTAAACGCTCTGAATTTAGTATAGTGTATCTTGGATGCGCACAGCATCACATTGTAATAACCCAGTGGAAGAAAGTCTCTGAAAGAAGGGGCACAATATGACCCTTTAATGTATGCATTTGCTAACGCGTCTACTGCTGCGTGGTTGTGCTATAGTCTATTCCATACTGAACAAGAGAATTTTCCCCTGCACAAGGAAAAGATGTATGGTTAATTTAAGCCAATGCGGTAGTTTAATTGAAACAATGCTTAAAGATCTTTACAATCCAAAAATTGATAGTTTTCTTATTTTAGACTGCTTTCAGATCTAGACAACTCTTTAGCATTGTTTACATTTAACATTTACATTAAATTACTTCCGAATTTTTATTTTCGCAAAATTTTTAACATTGGATTATTTAATCTACCAATTCAATGCAATGAAAGACAAAGACAAATTCCAGTACAATGAAAAGCTAAAAAAATGGTTTACGAAAATCCTTTTTAAGGCCTGAATAAATAATCTTTATTAAAAGGATTCTTTTCAATAGCGATTTCCCAACTAAGATATGAAATCCTTTAATAATTTATACAGAATAAGACCCGTGAAATATTTTTAGTAACTTCGTAGCGCATGGGGAAAATGTTTTCTGGCTCACATCTTTAAATTGAAACTTACTTTTTCTTGGGCACAAACAAGTGTGCACTTTGGCCTCCTTTATCATGTCGCAAGTCCAGCCACGCTAATTACTCTAAAAGGGATAAGATTTTCCCTTTAAATGGTAATTATTAGTTTAATCTCTTAACCAAGATTCATTAGGAATTTAAATGCGAATAATTCAAAATTTGGATCACGGATCTGAAATGTGCATGTTGTGACTAGATTACAGCCTTTATTCACTACAAACTTGTATCTTCCGATCCCAAGCAGAAATATATTCTCTCGCAAATGATTCTCGTTATCCTTTCCTTATTCGTCAGTTCAGATTTTTCCTGTTACGAGGCAGATAGTGCAAAAGTGCAAACACTCTATTAAAATTAAAAGCTCAATTCACTACACAAAGCTATGAAGTTGAAGCAATTCTATGTACGTATTGTCTTGACAATTGGATGTAAGGGTGCTATGCAACTTTAAAAATTTATTTTTGATTTAATCTCGTCTGGGTCTCGTACACTTAAAACATTAATATCGCGAAGTTTTCATGGTTTACAGGTCTCTCAAATTCGTCTTTTGTCCATCAAAAGGTAATTACTTAAGTTGAAAAGTTTAAAATCCTTTGCTGTAAATCAGTCAAAGGTAACCCAAATAGTAAGTGCGACATCGTTTGGTAACGTTTGACAAATAATCTTTCAATCAGAATTTGGATTGATTATGAGCTGATACAGGGATGCCTGTATGAGGTCCATTTGCATAGTATGCTTTAGTGTTAAGTTAGATTTTACGAGAACTGATTCCTGTCTACTTTGCACATGAAGAAAGCCGCAAGAGCTTATTCAGTTGTCAGGAATGGAAACGCAGCGAATTGCCAGTGTTCAGCTGTCTACTGGCTTGAATCTTTCAGTTGAGAAACTTGACGCATCATTACGATATACGTTCAACTGGAAAAAGAAAAGCTTACTTATATTAAGTTTGAAAAAATGGATTAAATCATGTGGGATATTATGTGCCTATATCCACATGCATCAAATATTTAAAAAATCAATTACTTAGATGACAAAGATAAATATTAAAGTACATGAAGCAGATTAATGAACACTTATCTACCATACAATAATATTGCAAATGCCACTACTAAAATTTATACAGCGGCTTATGTTTTCGAACAGTTCTGTTTTTATTGTAAATATCAGTTACTAAACGTTAGCGGAATTACTTCTTATTTTTCTTTCATATACTATCGATCATCTTTTTCGAAACCTCCTTACTTGAAAGAACTTATTGAAGACGTTTTTGGTAAATAGAATAATTTATTTGCCAAAATTATTATTCAATATTTAGACACTTTAGAATAAATAGCTTATATTTCATAAAAACATGAAAATAATCGGACATTAAAACTTCGTTAGACATCCTTATCTACAGTTGTCGTGTAACCAGTGCAGGATTTACGTATAAGCTGTACAAGCTATAGCTTAGTCCCAACCCCCCAAAAAAGTATTGTAAAATATAGTATAACAGACTTATAAAGGGCCCCATAATCTCAAATAGCTTAGGGCCCTATCAAGTCTAAACCGGCTCTGTAACTTGTTAGAAAATTTAATTACTTTATTTTATTGAACCTACTGATTGAATTCGTACTTACATAGATTATCTTTTAGTGTTCTGAGGTCACGATCGTTCCTAGCAGCGGTGCAGCGCGTATAAGTACGCGGGCGGCAAAAATCAGGGGCGGCCGCACTCTCGTTTATACTCGCGACTAAATATTTTAAGTTCATTATAAGCACTTGTCATATGTAAGTACTTGGTGAGTACGAAATAAAAATTTTATTAATCATTGAGCTTTCTTAAAAAAAAATTTGGGACGGGAATCTCAGGAAAGTACACGGACAGCCAATGGCCTAGGAGCGGCCCTGTTCAAGGTGTTATGTATTTGTATTTCAATGAAATGAGTTTGTGGCTATCTCTTGAGTTTACGAAAAGATTTAAATGTTTTCAGGGAAGTGGATAAAGTATTATTTTAAAGAGAGAGAGTACTTGTAGAATTTTGAAAACGAATTGTATTTTCCCATTTCATTGAAAAACAATTTTTTTGATTTTATACCAAAACACCAGGAAGGATATTATCTCTTTAGTATTGACTTGCAGTTTGAGCTTTGAAATAATAAAATAATATTATTTACTTTACAAAGGTGGTGATTTATGTAATTTAGTTTAACTTCAATCACCAGGTTTTAGATTTCAGATATGCGACTTAATAGTTTTCTGGCACTAGTTGTTGTTCTGTTATTCAACAGTAAGGTTCAAATTAAATATATTCAAAACCTCTTAAAATACTTCCCTCCCCAAACGTAACAAAATCAACTCTTCATCACTTAATCGTGAATTAAAACTTTTTTTATCATGTAAGAATATTCCATTTTTTCCCATTTCACCGTAAGAATTATTTTTAGTAAAACTTTCTAAGAATATCATGTTTCCTTATTCTTCTCTTCAGCT